AGGAATTTTCTCCGTATGTCTAGTTCTGATATGGAAGTTCAAGTTCATTCTGAAATCAAGTAAACTTTCTGTTGCAATTTCTTGCGACAAACCGTCCACACCAACTACAACTTGTGTTAAGTTGCTAAATGTCTGCGTTTGTTTCACGTTTTTCTTTGATCTTCACCGCTTCAAACCAAAACACACAACAAACGTCATCATCTCGTTTACCACGACATAAACAATATGCAACATAGTACAACAAATAACAACATGATGCAACATAGTGTGACTAACATGCGTTGTTGTTGCAGTAAGTTGAACCATGTTGTTGAATTGTTAGGTATGAGTCGATAAAAATTATATATTATTATTTTCAGATACTTTGGGACAATATATGAAGTGGAACTGAAAGATCTCACAGTGGCAGTAGACGCTGAAACTATCACTTATCTACAAGTTATCAAATATTTCACAGCTTTGCTTCATTCCTTCATCACTGCAACTAGAAGTACTAGAGTTTGCTGTTTCTGATTAATCAGATTCACTATCGGATAATATGTCTTCTGAGATAATGTGAATAATCACTTCATGAAATGAAGAGGAGTGAGTGATTTGAAATAAGGATGAGGTCAAGAGTTGGAGATGTCACGGAGTCTGAGGAACTCTACCTCAGTGGTTAGGGGTTAATAAAACATTATTATTTACTCTCCTAATATGTAGAAATATTTCCAGTTGCTTTATTCTCAACTAGATGATATTTTCTTCATACAGGTAGGTAATATAAGTAATTTGGTAGGTACATACTCACAAAATGCAATGATGCATTAGCACCAGGGGATAAAAATTTGCATTCCCCACTAGTGGCGTTGGACAATATCCAAAAGCTCAACTATAATTTGTGACTTGGCAAACGTGTTGGCCGAGTTCGGCCAAGCTGTGGCAAACTCAGCGTAGCAACTCAGATCAGATGGCTCTAGTAGGTTATATGGAGCCTCAACCACGTGTCGCAACTCAGATGTTGACCCTCCTGTAGGTCTTAACTTAGCTACTCGCTTGGCTTTTTGATGAGAGGTTTTGATCATTTCACCACCCAACCATATCCATCCCCAAATAAAGAGAATTGTTTTTCAAAAGTACAACAAGCAATTTATTCAATCATAAAAACACAAAAATGTGCCAAAAGGGCGGAACAGTAAAGAACAAACATGAAACGAGCAGACAACAGAAACAAGATGATGGTTCTTGGTACTTACATTATGTTATAGGCAGCAGCACCAAAGTCAAGGAGATATCACACCTACAAAGTGGCATAGTGCCACTTTGGAAGTCAGCAATCAATGAATGAGTGTTATGTACGATTGAACTCATAATGCCTTGTGTTGATAATGAATGATTGCTTTATCGACTCGGGTACTATTTATATTTGGAACCGATGCTATAGGTTCGCAATTTTTCGCAATGGGAACGGTCGTTACCTTTCGATACTGCTCACCTAGGTATTATCGCGCGGTAAACGTTTTCTTTGGAAGTGACGTCTATGAACTCCGCTGACCTGATCGAAACTACAATGTACTGGATGTTTCTGGAAAAGGTTATTTATGATAAAAGGTCTTGAAATGAACGGGAGTTTGAGTGATGTTAATTAATAGGCATTTATACTTCTTCACATTATCAACCGATATCATCAAGATCCATATCGGATGAAAGGGATAGCAGTCTGTGATTCAAGCCGTATTTTTAAACAACTTAAACACATCCAAATGGTATAAAAGATCTCTTCAATAACTCAGTACAATTGCTAAAAACTGTAATAAGATCATATAGATAACACTTCAATAGGCTATTATTCACACTTTCATTCCTCCCGGAATGCTTCCCCCTCTTGCAACTCATTTATTATTATAATACGTTTTCCTTTTCTTTGTCGGCGCTAGTCTTCCAAAGCCAACTTCAAAAAGTAGATTGACTTCGGTCCCAAATCCGTCTCGAAGTCGATGACATATATTATGAGGATCCATCGGCTGAAGAGATTTTTCAAGTTGATGTCGGTACTGACGGACGCGTCCAATATTTCCACACTCAAAGGGAGAACGTCAGAAATAATGATCGTGGATGAAATATTGCGGGGGTGAATAGGGGCGACGTTGTAAAGCAATATCGGCCGCTTTATTTCCCAGTCAAATTAGGGATTCCGGCTGGAATAGGTGGCCTTGGGATGAGGTTCTCGGAGTGACGTGTGAGTGAGTGTTCGCGTTATTAGCACTGTTGAAACACCTAAACGCATCTCATAGTACAGGGTGGGCAAAATTGGGCGTTTTCACCGTCTATCTCATTAACTAGAGGAGTTATCGAAAAACCGATATACATGTTCCGGGTTCGATTTTGAAGAAACCTCGAATGGTACAATCAAAATTTCGATATCTTCATTCGTTTTAGAGATACAGGGGGAAATTGAAAATTTGCCGATTTCGATTTTATTTTCTGACTACTTTACGGTGAGAGGTATCAACAAATTTCAAACGTATATTTATACAGTATGATGCGTGGAATCCATTGGCAACATCAGAAATTTTATACAGGGTGACGTTGAGAAAATACGGCAGCCAATTATATTTTTTCTAATGGAACACCCCGTATATTTTGGCACAGTTGAATAGTCCCAGGCGTTCTCATTACAAATATATATATATAACCCTACCTTTTCCTTCCACAATTTCAGATATATTCGCAAAAATATATTCAGTGTGTCACATTTCTTATGGTTGCACCCCCGTATCTTCTGTAAGAATAATTGATGGAAACATTAACAATCCTAATATTTTGTGGCAGAATGCCTGAATATGATACTTCACCCATTATTTCTAGTATGCCTTAATATTTTTGCGTTCAAAGAGATAATAAATAAGATATATATTTGAAATTGAAACGGGAACTTCCCAGCTCTGCCAAAATATACGGGGTGTTCCATAAAAAAAATTGTTCTGTATCTGGAATTCGGACATCTTCTATAAGGCTATATTTTTCAACGCAACCTACTGATTTCCTAATTGAGTAAATTATTGGTATTATTTCTGTATCTCAAATGTCTTGTTAACAATGATATATCAAATCGAATAATTTCCCATTTTATTTCTCACCAAATATCCATTTATCTGGAAATTATATTCCCTATGATATTTATTTTCCACATTTGGTGAATATATACAGAGTGTCATTTTCAACCCCGATTCTGACTGTTGATAGCATTATCCAGAAATATCGATGATTCCAGAGCTGCTGGCGAGCAGTGTTCTCATTGGAGATGATCCCACTTGGTCCATGACTCTATGAGTGTATCATTTGTATCTTCCTGACAGTTGCGAATTTTTTAATCCTACCTCAATTATTTTTACAGAAGATACGGGGGTGTAACCATAAGAAATGTGACACACTGACTATATTTTTGCGAATATATCTGAAATTGTGGAAGGAAAAGGTAGGATTATATATATATTTGTATAGAGAACGCCTGGGACTATTCAACTGTGCCAAAATATACGGGGTGTTCCATTAGAAAAAACATAATTGGCTGCCGTATCTTTCCAACGTCACCCTGTATAAAATTTCTGATGATGCCAATGGATTCCACGCATCATACTGTATAAATATACGTTCGAAATTTTCTGATACCTCTCGCCGTAAAGTAGTCAGAAAATAAAATCGAAATCGGCAAATTTTCAATTCCCGCCTGTATCTCTAAAACGAATGAAGATATCGAAATTTTGATTGTGCCATTCGAGGTTTCTCCAAAATCGAACCCGGAACATGTTTATCGGGGTTTTTCGATAACTCCTCTAGTTATTGAGATAGACGGTGAAAACGCCCAATTTTGCCCACCCTGTACAGTCGTATTAAAAAAAAGCGTACAAGTACATTGGAGGGGGAAATTTACGTCATCCTATTTGCGTAAAACGGGACAGTAGAGTAATCATAGGTTCTCAAAAAAACAAAGCATTGGCTGGGCCAATTTTACACAACGAGAACTAGAATGCCAAAATCTTCTATGTTTGATACTTTTATTGAATACGCGGGAAATGTGCCTGCGATGACTCTCCCTGAGGAATTCGCCTCATTATTTTCTTAAAATGAATGTATTTAATACTGTTGAGTAACTTATCGACTCCTTATGAGTTGTTCTTCATTGTAATGTGAGCTTTAATTATACTCATCACCTGAAATTGAATTGTGTCATTTATAGGTATGCATTTTTCTGAAATCTCCTGAGTGGTTCATCATTGGAACATACAGGGTGTATCTGAATAACACCGAGAAAATTCAAGGAGTATTTCCTTGTGATAGTGTAGGAAATAAAGTTTATATGAACATATGTCCTAACTTGCTTCGTTTTCGAGATACAGGGTATTGATATTTCCATGAAAAATCGTTATTTTCATTCATTACTCAATTGTCTTTTCATCTATCTCAATAAAACGTTGTGGTTTTGTCAAAAGTGATATGGGGCTTCTTCTAGTGCAATAAGATTCAAAATGATATTTCCAGTGGCGTCATAGTGGGTAAATTTATCGATATTTATGGTGAATGACATTGTACGCCACCGGTTTTTTTGAGTTTCATATTTTCATAAGATTGAACTATTGAAATAACAACTTTTTCATTCTCTGTGTGATTTTTGTATCTAGCTTACTTTTTGGGAAAACAATATAAATTCGATTTGACTCTGAATTTTGAGTTTTTTCAAAACTTCTATTGAGATTACTCAATAATCCCAATTAGTATAATTTTGAAATTCTGGGGCTTTCTCAATCTCCATCCATACTGAATGTTGGCTCCATGAAAGTTTATACCAGGGGGGTTAAAAATGAAAACCATTATTACTTCCAACTTCAACATCCTGTATTTCAAAAGTGGAGCAACTGAGGGCACATGTATATATGAAGTTTATTTGCTTGAATATCATAAAGAATCCTTGAATTTTTTCGGCGTTATTTGACCCGACTTCCTAATCATCATCAAACTGTATTTGATATCTCTTCATTTCCATGAACTGCGCTAAGGTCGGTTAAATAATTGAAATAATGAGAAGTCTATATCTTTCTCCGAAACTGTTTAATAATTGGACAAATCATGTGCATGTTTGAAACAGTACTTTCAGTTCAGTAGTCAAATAACTGCTTTATACTGCGTTTCTTGACTTGATCCAATCACAATATTGAAACTGAAACAGAAATTGAGAATGCAAAACAAAAATGATATAGTCAGTTAACACTCCTTTCGATCCACCATTTTGCGATCATCTTGAGGAAGCATTGTTGTCAACGTACTATCCTTGCTCAACCATCGTCATCCTCATCATCGCTCTCACTCTTTATAATCCCCAGAGTTTTCGCCACACTCTTCACGTTCGAAATCACCTCTTCCTGCACCAGATTGAAACTCATGGCCAACAGCGATATGCCGAACAGCAGGTACAACGAGCACAGCGCTATGCTGATGGTGGCGTAGTACCCGTCTTGGCTGACGCCCTTGGCGGGTACCAAGTCTCCGAAGCCGATGGTGGTGAGCGTGATGAAGCAGAAGTAGGCTGCGTCTAGGTACTCCCAGTTCTCCCAAGTCTTGAAGAGGTAGGCACCGGCGAGGATATAGCCCACTACCAGGAAGACGCAAAGCCATATGGGGACCGGCTTGATCCTTGTCCTAATATCACAAAGAATAGAAGTAAATTGTTGGATACTGCAAATGTTCTGTATTTTTCACATGACCTGTCATATGCGAAAGCCTCAGACCTGCATCATCTGTTTCGTTAGAGTTATGATTTCAGCTGTTGGATGGTTTTCTTGAATGAAGTCCAGTTTGAGTGATAAAAACTCAAAGAGGTTGTTATATTATCATTAGGCGATAGGTATAGGCAGCAGATGAATTTGGTCAGTTTGGTATCGACTAGCTTGAACCACATCACATCAAAGTCTTTCGGTTCCAAACTCTCTACACGCTGGCATGATAGGTTAGCCTTAGCGTAGAGGCAGACTCAACCTTTGAACCTGAATCGAGAATGGAGTTCGTAACCAGGACAGAGCCGTGGACCTTGTTGGTGGGCGATTTCACTTGAGTTTCTTTTAGTGCCAGAATATCTGATTTTTCCGTTTGTAGATGATGGTGGATGTCATTGATGTTTTTGTAGAGTCTGCGGATGTTGCAAAAATTGATATTCAGAGATGAGTTCCCTCGAGTACCTCTCGCCCGGAAATCCGAATGGAGAGGTATTTTACTTCCGGAGTGTTTAACTCTAAGAGACTTCATCATCTTTATTCATAGAGAGGAGAAATTGTGGAAAAGGGTGGGGGAAACCGGAAAGTATCGACCGAACACTGAAACATGGAGTGATCCATAAAACAGCACACAAAGTCGATATGGTGGTATTTCACCGGGCGATGAGACCATCTACCATCTAAAGTTATCCTTTCAGTCGCCTTTTATGACAGGATTTACCATGGCAGTTTATTCTGAGTCGCCCCCATAGTTGCAATGGATGGGCAATATCCGTCCCACTATAGAATCTAACCTAACCTAAACATCTCTGGTCTGGATTTCTGGTCACTTCTGTATGGAAGATTTCCTTGCGAGAACTGCAAGAAGAGTTGCAGCTTTCTGGTAGAATTTACCAAACAAATTTTAGACGACAGCAGGGATTATATACGCTCTCTGACATGCTCACTTACAGATCACTATCGTCTAAATCATCATATATCAAGACTTGAAGATAATGAAACATCAGAGCATCTACTTTGTGCCTGCCCCCTGCGGCCCAAATCAGGTTTTCCCTGTTTGGCATCGTTTCACTCTCGCCCTCGAGCTTGAAAGATTACTCACCAACTAAACTCATTGACTTCATTGGGAAACTGGATCTACTTGCTGAAGTATGAATTGGTGTGAGTCAAAATAGACCCTTACGGATTGCAGAGAAGGGCCGAATAAACCCATTCACTTCTAACCTAACCAAACCCATCTACATTCGAATCGCTCATCAGATTGAAGAACAATAAATTCTCAGTTTGCTGTGATTATTCGTACAAAGGCGATTGAAAGTATGCACATCAATGAGGTGAGTTACTTGAAAGGACTGTACTTATTTGTTGAGATGCGAGTAAGTAATGCATGATCAACTAGATAGTTATAGATACATTTTACTACTGACCAGTAGTGAAGAAAAATGATTTCGCAGGTCGAGTTGTATAGTATAAAAAGATTGATATACACAGAGGATGTCTATTCACCTTCCCGTCTCGTAACTATCTTCATAGTAGTCGTAGTCTTGATCGGAATCGCTATCGTCCAGATATTTGCTTTTGTAACCATAGCCTAATGGGGTCATCATTCTCGGGCTGGGACTTGGACCTGGAATAAATAAATGCGTGGGTCAATTCCAGAACCAGAAGTATTGGGATACCATTTGACGTTTTTGCGATCACCTGAAAAATACTTCTCGAATTGATACTGGTAACAGAACTACTCACCACACCTTTCGTCGAAGTCAACGAAGAGATATATCAGTTAATTATATCTTCTCATAGTTTTCATTCGCAATACGTAGTAGTAGTTAAAGTAGTTCAAACTAACCTTCACATGGAAAACAAAATCATTAAGCTTACTGGTATACAAGATTTTCCACAATCATAACGCCAAAAGTAGAAAAGATCTGGATAGTGAAGTAAAAAGAGCAATAAGGACGGTTCATACTGGTTGAAGACAATGTTTGAAGACTGAGTGTTCATCATAGCAGTACCTACTTCAGGAGAAAGAAATCAGAGATCAAAATTCACTCACGATTTGGTAGTTTATGCTTTCTCATCGGTGATCGACTTCTGCGGGAACCCCTTTTTTCCACTTCTTCTTCTTCATCTGGTGATGAAATCCTTGGTGGTTCCAGATAGTTAGGGGTCCTTGGCATACTCTTGGCTCTCCTATCGGCAGGCATGGAGTTGGCCCTGTTTTGAATTTCTTGTTGACGAAGAGTAATTCCTAAAGCAACATTCAAGAGTGTTCATTTTGATTGGGAAACTGTTTCTGGAATAGAGGTAGTACGACACTGATTGGATTATGAATGATACTGCACCATAAGGATCTGAGATAGTATGTTCCTGATGATGCAGTACCCTCAAATTAATTCAAGACAAAATTAGTGAATATGAATCACCAGAAAAAAATATGAAGCATTAAAGTCAGCTTCGTCATGCCATTATTCATAGCACAAAAAGCAACAAAAGAATATGTAACTGAATCTTCCCTCAATTTTTCTTTCCAGTAAGCAATGAAAAAAAAATTTATACTCATCCCATTTTCATCGCCAATTTATCGTATGAATTGTAATCCAGATCCAGATATTCAATTGTTCTACCTGAACCAACTACTCAATCTAACCTAATGATGAGTAGACTCGCCATAATACATCAAAAATGTGAAATAAGTTAGGTGAATACAATATGCTCCTAATCGATTTTATTTTGATAACAAGATAATGATAAATGGAAAGTTACGGCAACCACTTCATGATTCATATCATATCGGAAATTCCATTCATCTAACACTTCTTCAGTTCCAGTAGCCCATGTGCATATTGTATATTGCCAACTCCACATGATGGTCATATTACTTAAAGTTGAATTAGGTTAGGATTAGTTTTTCCATGAGTGTTACCTTAAATCAGTTGCTTCTCTCCACAATCTAAGAGGCCTTCGATGCCTATGAATGGAGCAGAAGATATTGCAGTTCACTATCAATGTTCTCACAACTCTATAATAAGAAACCTAACGGTGAAATATTATACAGGTTCGAAAAATAATTTCCAGAGACACCAGTCTAATAGCTCTTGCTACTGGTTGTATTACCGACTGAAATCTTACAGTAGGTTGACAGAAATCTGTGCGTATGATCATCGTTCATAAAACAACCAAACTGAGGCTGTGCGCATATTGTACTCACCTAATACCTCAATGACAAATGGATGTAATGATTTTATAGATGGGATGAGAGGCACCAATAATGGCTCCCTTTGATATCTAGGCTAGTCAATTATCATTGGAAAATAATCAGGGTAACTTTAGCGGGCTGCACACTATAAAAAATGAATCATGAAGGACCAAAAGGGGATGTTTACCTTTACCTGGTATCTTCTTAGCGAAACCGTCGTTTTTGCCGATCACATATCGGTTGCACAATATAGACGAGTTGTCTAACGATATGGGATCCAGCTCGATCTCGACGTCTTTCGTAGCTCGTTTCCTGTCCAAAGAGTATCCCCTTTGAGGGTAGACGTGATTCGGGGTGGAGTGGTTGACTTGGCTGATTTTCCTCGGAGTGGCATTGCCTGAAGCTCTCTGAGATTTGTTGTAAGAGCGGGTTCTTGGTAGGCTAACACCCCGATTTGGGTGGTCGTCATACCTAGAATCGATATGGAAACCACTTTGAAAAGTAGTTGGTATATGGAACTGTTGATGAAAATCTCTTCACGTTCTGTTATACTCAACCTAGGATATTTGAATCATCATCATTGCACTCTTAGGGGAAAGTTGGTGCATTGAATATATACTTTGTCGAAACATTCCATATCTTTTCAAATTCTCATTCCTTCACCTTCAGCGGCTTCAGCAGATTCACCTGAATAGATGAGGAACAGTGGCTCAAGTTTATGAAAATAATGGGCTTGTTGACATGCTTTTGACTTGTGCTGATTGTCGTCAAATTGCAGCAGCAACATTTCGTTCGTGTCCAGAACTATGAATGTTCGTTAATTTTGTGCAAATGTGTCCTGACACAAGGTGTTTGAAGAGATAGAAAGGAGGTTTGGAAAGGCCTGTATACCACCCGAAATGGCTGAAGTTGGGTGAGACATTCTGGAACTGATCGATGATGATCCAGCAATGAATACTAGGACCATAGCAGGACAAGTCGAAGTGGCTCACAGTAAAGTATGGAAGATACGAACAATTCTATCTATACCATTATCGAAGAGTACTATCGTTAGAACCTGAAGATCTTCCTGAGCGGATTGAAATTTGTATGTGGCTTACACTTACACGAAATGGGGTGATAAATTTTTAGATTCCGAATTTCTATATTTGCGCAATAGAAAATCCTCACACTGTAGGCAGAACACTTTTCCAGTAAAGATTTTCGTTGAATGTTTGGGCTGAACTTGTATATCGGGCCAAAATTCCTTCCATCCCGAATGTAAACTGAAAATCATTCGGAATTTCCACAAACCAATTAGACAATGTGACTTCGAATGAGAGAAAGGCAATGTGGCTTCAACACGATGAAGCACACATTTCAGACGAGAATTTGGCGAACATTCGTATAACCTTTTTCCCAATAGGTGGATACGTAAGTTTTGTTCACTATTTGTAATTTCAATTATACAACAGTCGATAATACTTCATGAATGATCTTATACCAGGAATTAACTGTCTGATCATTCATGTCATTCCTACTAGGAAATCAATTATACTTTATATATTATTTGTATGAAATGTATCAATGAAGTAAAGAATGTAATGCAATAACTGAAATAAATAAATAAATAAATAAATAAATAAATAAATAAATAATGGGCCCATTTCTTGCCTGCACGCTGTGTAGATCTGAATCCTTGCGATTTATTCTTTTGAGGCCATTTCAAAAACTCTACATCCTGTTGAAAGAAAATACCTCACATTCGTGAACACCCTGTATATTTGTGTCCTAAATAATAAGTCCCCGAGGTAATTCTTCCTTGAGCGTTTCTTCATCATTTCCGCTCACGAGCTCAAATGCTATCAAATCATGCCATTTCATGAAAAACGCCACCCTTGTATTGACATTTCACAGTGTCAAAGGCTACTCGGTTGTATAGAAAAAGACTGCCTAAAACACTTCAATCATAATTCGATAGTGAAATTTTACCTCAACTCTGTATCTGAATGGGAAGCTGGTCCGATATCAGAAAATGCAAAGCCACTGTCTGCTGACTTGGTCGATGTCCTCACTGATCTCCTAACTGACGCATTTCTTGAACGAGAAAATTTAGAGCCGCTGGAACATAAATTCAAATTGTCAATTTCAGTAAGTATAATGATAATACACTCTATAGTATCTATCATAAACAAGTTTTAGATATGTTGATTATTGCCATTGATCGGCCATCACTGAAATCGATGGGCCTATAAATCACCAGCATTATGCCATCACTCATATCAATGGGCCATTGACGAAATTATACTTTCTGGAATCTTACTCGGATCTGATGCCGCTCCTGACCGACTTGGATCTCTTCATCTTCTTGGGCTTCTTGGTGCACACGTAGCAACACACGCGCCAATAGAGGAACCTGAACGAGGTGGCCATTATGTCTCCGATGTTGGACAAACAGAGCAGCATCAGAGGGATGCCCAGGATGGCGTAGAATATCGTCACCACTTTGCCCCACGTCGTTTTGGGAGCGATGTGGCCGTACCCTGAAAAGAACGAATGCGGTTTTCAGTTATAAGTGTAACTAATTGGGACGGGTGCAATGTGGTAACAATAGATATTATGGAACTGCCAATGTCCTAATAACTGAAATGATGTAGAATTTGTTCATAGTTTTGTCATCTATGGTAGGTACTGTTATAATGTGATGTAATGAATCATACGAGTGGAACGAACTAACACCTGTTCTCTGCAAGTTGTTCAACTACTTTTACAAATTGAGGATATTTCCGTCCAACTCGAAACTTGCAAGAGTACAACCAGTTCCTAAAAAACGGAAAAAGACCCTATCTAGCAACTACAGACCGATCGCAGTACTATCTATCATTCCAAAGATCATGGAGAAAGCTATTAACATCAAGCTCATGAAATACCTGGAACATTCAGGTATTATCAACGATAGGCAATATGGCTTTCGTCATCAGAGATCAACTGGTGACCTTCTCGCTTACGTCTCACATATATGGCAGCAATCTATTGAAAAATATGGCGAAACCTTAGCCGTGGCACTTGATATCTCCAAGGCATTCGATCGAGTCTGGCACCACGGACTTCTCGCCAAGCTTCCATCTTATGACTTGCCTCCCCAGCAATGTTCTCTGCTAGCTAGTTTTTTCTCAAATAGGTCTCTCTATGTAGTGGTCGACGGAGTTTCATCTGACTCTCTTATCATAAATGCTGGTGTTCCGCAAGGATCAATTCTAGCACCGTGGGTGATGCCTCGCTCACAAACTCACTCACTTCTCTGTAACACCGTAGGAAAGTTGGCGATCTGGCTCTATTTCATAGATATTTCCATGGACGATGCTCTTCTGAAATATCAACAATTGTTCCTCCTTTGGCAGTCCCCGCGAGATTAACCCGTCGAGTTTAGGCTTCGCACCCCTTCGTGGTCACTTTGGAGACCTGCAGAACATCTCTTTTCAAAGACTCGTTCATCCAACGAACAGCAAGGCTCTGGAACACATTGACAAGGGAGATGTTCCCCAAGGCATATAACCTCCAGAAATTTTGTTGTTTAATAAAGTTCATCTTCTTTCTATGATGGAATTTCTACTATGATACAGGTGTTATCTTTGGTATTGGTATTGGTATAATATATATCAAAATATGCCACTACTCACAGATGGATACCAATCTAAAAATCAACTCCAAAGCATTTGACGTTGGCCACGAAAAAATTGTACGTTCAAGGAAATGGTTCACCAATATCCACTATGCCATCTCCAAAACAACACGTTACAGTGTGGATTGAACCCCAGTTGAACTAGAAAAAGTTATCATCTATGAAGCTCATCTAAGACATATTCTCCATATCCTGGGTAGGAAATTATTAGAAAATAAAAATATCTCACATACATCGAGAAAAAGTGTTATTCACAAAGTTTTATAATATATCATTCTCCACTTTTGTTCATTTCGAAGTTATTCTTATAAATCTCCTCAAAAAGGATAGCCTTAAAATTTTATTTCTCATTCTGAAAGCGTTTTCAACCTTCCAAACAGCTATGTATGATTTTTTGTATATTCCAAAAAGTTTCGACCAATAAAATTCATAATAATTGCGTTTCATAATCATTTCCGTCTATGGAAGGTCAACAGCTCATGCAAAAATGTAACATTATGTGATGAGTGGGTGGAAAAAATGCAGCTGGCAGCAATGTTTCAAAAGTGCTATGCAGTTCTTCCATATTGGCGGACGATGGTTCTTCTATCGCTGTGAATATTTCATGTTGGTTTAGGAGAGCTCGGAGAGCTTCATATTCAAGGTATTTCAAGTACGAAAACAAGACATATAATATATTGATCACACGGTATCCAACAGACCGATCGAATAAACAATCAGTATTTCGACAATGAAAGACCATTTCGCAACCATGGCTAACCTCAAATCTGACGAAATAATAGACAATTAACATTGGAATATTTAAAATTAACGAAAAATCGCCAGTGACCCTGAAATGTTGCAAGGTTTCAGACGGACCGGATGATCTGCAGAGATTGTTTCCGTACAAAAATGTACAAAAAACAGAGGTGGATTAAGTAGGGCACAACTGAACTATAACAACCCTTTTTCATCTCCAAAACAACAAACAACAACAACAATTTTTCTGTTGTTGTCTGATCAACTGAGTAACTGACTGTATATTGAACATTCCTTATGGCACTTTCAATATTAAAGACGTGAAATAACTTCCAAAAGAGGGCAAACATTTTCAGTATCACTGGTCTATATCAAACATTACTGGATAGCCTCGAAGGCTGAACTTTATTTTGACACATACATACAAAATTTCTGGCTCTGTTATCAAACAGCTCGACTTAAGCCATTTTTCCTCGAAGTTAACCACACATGATTCCCCTTCATGGCTCTCTGAATCCCAAAGACGTTTCATTAGTTAGAAAAATATCCTTCCTGCATAAGGAAGGGGACTACTTCTTCTGAACAATCTAACCTAACTCGGCCTAAATGAACCTTCTTCCCTTCAATCAAATTTGGTTACGAGGCTTCGTTCGTGTGTGTTCGAAGACTGTGGCTAAATCAAAATGTGGGCCTAAAGAAAGGTGCGTGAATCGAAATATGGGCGAATGAAAATGAAACAAATATAAAAGTTTGAGTGAATTTCGGTTTTTCCGTATATCTCCGAAGGAATTCAAATTTTCCAAGTTTCAAAGCGGCATAAAATTGCCCAACTTTGCCATGATTCAACTGAACCTGTTTATCTTACAGCTCACGAGTTCCCAACGATGAGGCTTGAATTCCAACCACCCTGTACATTAACAGAGATAAATGAGAGGCTAATTAAACGAAAGAACCCTCATTCCCAGAGTTGTACTCCAGAGTCAAATATATTTAATCTCTCATTCTTTTCACCTTTATTCCCCAGTCCTGAACAGATGACAATTCAGAAATATCAACGCGTTTGGGTGCTACAAAGTGTTATTGTTGATGGCTAAGGTTCATTTAGGTTGATTGCTTTGTCTAATTAAGGCTAATAGCTATGTTGGATATCGAACCTGCTGCTATTTAAAGGATCACTTCATTGAAGTAGATGGAGTGCAAAGTCTCGACAATTAATGTCTACTCTGTCTCTTCTAATCACTGGTGAGATTAGTCTTTGTACCTTGTATATGTAATTAGGTGACCCTTTCAGTCAGTTTTAATATCCACTAATGTAATATACATAATTTCGCAGTTAGTCTCAATGAAGTTGACAGTAATATATCATGATTATAGTGCATTTATAGGCATGCTTATGTCAGTTATTCCGAATCCCGGAAGGAATTCAGGTAGGTTATGTAATGCGCAAAAAAACAAGGTCAGAAGACTCTCTGATCTCTTTAGTTGCATTGGAAGAAAAAGATGAATGAATATATTTTTCTATTCCTAGATACTATATTGGTAGGTCATGAAGAACAAATATGTATAGTGAGTCACCAGAATTATACATACAGCATTACTATATAGAGCTACCACTGTTACCAGACCCACCTATTTATAAAATTCAACAATAGCAGTTCCGTCAAAAGTTTCGAATACACTCCCCTGTATACATATATAATGATGAGAGTATAGCTGAAGCTGAAGATAAAGTGGTACTTGATCAGTAACGTCACACTACCAATTATTGTGGCATCACTCTGTGGCGTTATTCATAAAGTTATATTCATGACATCAACATGACTTCATTTATACGTCATCCATAGGAGTATTGAGAAAGTTTTTGCTATGACGTTGCTGTGATTTATCGATGAAGTCTACAGATTATCTTGCTGTGACGTGCCAATTTGATGGTGTCTGTCTCTGAAAGGAATCAATGATGTGCTTTTTATTTCCCGTCGAGTGATAAAACTGCATAAAAATACAACATATTTAATACGCCAGCACTTATTGCATTTCTATTGAACTAGCTTTAGTCCGCTTACATCTCACCGATAGTCACTACGTGATTTTAGATACAAATACAAGCAGATGTTCTTACTCTGACGGAGATAGATATAGAGATGCTGATTACAGAATGGACAAGACATACAACCAAGAACGTCATATCAATGCATAGCCAATATCAGATATCGTGATATACAGTGTGTCCCGATTGATGATGATGATGATGAATGAAACTGTTTATTCTGCTAAATACTTTCTCATTCTAACATACAATCACTACAAAAATTCCAAGAGAATCGCACCATTGATAAATGAGATGTCAGGGTCTATCCATGAAAAGCGGGACACACTGTATAAGTAGGTGTCGGTATCATACCATGTGGGTAAACTTCTTTCACGACTCATGACCAACTTTAGGCGTCATCAAGGCGTCATATCGAATTTATTCAAACGTCACTGTGTGGTATTTAGGAGATGAAATCAACGTGAGTAAAATGACGTCACTGGTGACTCATTCATGTCATTATTCATATACTGACATAAAAAATAGAAAAATGTACAAGAATGATCATAATGTGTATTTATAATGAACAACATGTTTCGAACTTCTGATTGACCATTCATATGATTCAACCCACTCATTCATTATCGACTTACCTATACGATTCCGACATTGACCCGATTACGTCCGTCTACTAAACAAAAACAATAATTATTACTAATGAGCGGATTCATTTTGAATCTGCTCGTTTGGATTATATTGTTCGTTGTTGATGGAAGCCTTTGCCTTTGATAATATCCTGGATTTGAATCAAATTTCTGTGCATTGAAGCAACCTCATAGAATCCATGTTTATGAAGGAATGGAAGAGGAGCGAAAGTAAATTGAATTTGCAACAATTCGAGTATTACAGGATAGGTCCAATGGGCACAGTGATGCTGGAAAAACGTTGTGGAATGTTCCAACCCGAACGTTCGTAAAGGGTTCTCCAAAAACGTTAATTCAAGTGAAGAAATGGCGCCCGGAATAAAGTGTCTCTTAAGTAAAGTTAATATGAGAAATAAACATGACACCTCAACGTTTTGTCAATGTACTAAA